TTAAGTATGCACTGTTGCCTTGATCTTCAAAATTAATATTAAATTTTTAAGGCTTAATGAAGATGACAGGATCTATTATTTTTTCCGGATCACCAAGTACTAGTTGTTATACTAAGTACTTCGTATGTTTTATTTTCTCTATATCATCCTGAAATGTAAGGAAAGTGTTATTTTACAGAAATTGAAACAGATTAATTAAAATTAAGTACTTTGCCTGAGTCTATATTATTAGTTCATTGCACTTTAAGATTTGATTTTTTGTTCTTTTTTCTAACAATACCAATTATAAACTATGATTGTTTGAAAACAGTTCCCATACGCTCACTTCTTAGAGTTAGTGTGTATCATCTGAGTTCTCCCATTATATGTATGCAATATAAATATGAACTCATTTCTGCTCATAGATTGCAAAAACAGTATATTTTGTTGGTTAGCGTCTCAGTACTAGATTCTGGAGTCTGCAATCATGGATTTGAATCTGCTATGTACTGTGTAACCTTGGTAAATTAACAACAACAAAAAAAGAATGATACTATGCAATATGTGTTATCATTCCCACCCCCAAACAAACAAGTAGAATATCCCAGTTATGGTAAACCAAGAATTGGACTTCATAGTTGACCTGGGCTCTCGTAATTCCTGCTCAGAGTTTTGTTTGCAGTTACTTCTCCAGTATACTACCTGCCCTTAGGATGGCTGGACATGACACCTACAACAGTAGACCTATCTTCTGTCTTTTGCAGTTCTGACATCGATAGGTCTTCATTGCCCACCCCCCTTTTTTATCCTATTGGACTTTTGCTTGACTGCCCTGAGGGGTATTAGTAATTTTCAACATCTAGAAGAAGAGGTTGAACATTTTTGTTCCTCCTTTTCCAGGAGACTCTTATGTTCATATTAATAAACTCTGTGTATTGATACATATCATGTTCATGTGTGTTCTCCTGCATGCTTGCATTTGAATGCTGTCTGTGACACACACACATGCATGCATGCAGAACAGGACTTCTGTTTTACAGGACTTCAATGCTAATGATAGTGATGATGATGATAATAGTTAACACTTTTGAAGATTAATGCATGCCAGATACAGTGATTAAAAGTATACTTTATTTTACTTCTTCACACATTCATAGGAGATTAGCCATTATCATCCTATTTTTTCAGATTAGGTAAGTAAGGCACAGAGAGCTTGAGTAACTTGTCTAAGGTCAAACGCTCATTAATGAAAGAGTCAGTATTGAAGCCTTAGGTCTATCCAACCTGAGACCCAGGACTTTTGGCCAAGTACTTCTGCCATCCTACAAGTATGTATTTAATTGAAATAAATTTTGTTGACTTAAATTAAAAACTTCTTGAATTCAGTATCTTCATATTTTGTATATATTTTTTATGTGTTTAGTTCAAACCATAGGCTCCTTTGAGCTTAGCGATATTAACTTCTTTGTAGGAATCATCAAAGCATTTGGCACATAAAATTTGCAGCTGAAATAATTTACACTATTGTAAAACAGATTTTATGGAAGAAATTTTGCTATTTGAAGGTTTACTTTCACACTTGGCGTCTGAATGCTTACAGCAGACATGCAACAGTGTTCTATGCTCCATCCAGCGCCATTGTTTTCCTCTTTCTATTGACTCATTCTAGGGTAACATGTTCACTATAAGAAAAAAAGTCTTAAAAGAGGCAATTCTGGGATTTAAATTTTCTTAGTATGTTAGAAATTGCATAATTTAGTTTGACATTAGAGTAACCGCTATAGAAGAAAGTTACTCCCAAGGTCATTCTTCAGTTCAAATATTGCTTCAATTTTTTTATGAAAAAACAAAAGATTTCATAAATAATAAGAGAATAGCAATAGTTAATGCACTGTGTATTGTCTTCGGAGTAGTTACTCACAGTACAAAACATAGACCAAAAAGATTCTTACAAAGAAGAAACTAACAGATAGTA